GTAGGACTTTCGATATGACTTTCGATTTCGACATGACTTTCGGCACGCCAAAATACTTTCGGAGCCATCCTTAGTCACACATTTCTTAAAAAATATTTAAATTCGTTCTCTCGTTCGTTTCTATCCTCTAAATTTTACGCTTCATTGCTCAAAAAATGGAGTCCAATCCACATGAAAAGTATCCAACTAAAGACAAGTGTCCACTTAAAAAAGGAAATCATTTACTTAAAATAGGAAAACGTATATTGAAAACCCATATAACTAGATCTGAAATTAACAAATTGGTTAAGTCAAATAAGGAAAGAACACCTAATGCTTATTTACTCTTTAAGAATGCGAATAAGTTTAATCCTACAAATGGTAAAGACAAATATTATAACTTACCAAATAACGTCCGATATAATTATAAACGTTGTGCTGAAGTTATTAGGTTTGTTAAGAAAGTTAAGAAAAATAATGATCCAGAAAAAATTTATAGGATGATTACCTCCCCGCTGTGCATTCTCAATTACGACAAAACGTTCTTTGAATTAAGTGCTAAAAACACTACAAAAGTCAAAGTTAACAAACCAAAAAAGAAACTAACTCATCATCCTTCCCATGATGAGAAAATGCATCACGTAGAATTGGCTCGATTGGCTCGAGGCACTATGGAATCTTCTTCTGGTCATGTTATTAACAATATGTTGCCTGTGGATCCTAACACAAGCATATCCTCTCTTTATGGTGATAATACCAAAGAACCACAATCTCCCGTCGAGCAAACAACATGTGCAGAATCGACTCAAATTAAGATCCCAGACAATTTTACCAATGATGCATCTCCTGTGGCTCTAAACATGAATGTACTTTCTCTTTACGATAAGCATCAGCCTTCCACCGAACTAACAACACATAATTTCCATAATTTCACAAATGATTCATCACTTATGGCTTCAAATTCAGACATGCACTCTCCTTATAATGTTCAGATTACTAAAGATCAAATGTTTCAGCTCTTTCTTGAGCAAACGACTCGTGAAGGATTGACTCAAGATATCATTCGAGATAATTTTGCCGACAATATGCCACATGTGGTTCCAATATCTCTTAATGGTGACAATATTGACGAAGAGTTATGGTCTTTCCTTCAATCACCTCATCAGTCCTCTGACGATATCATGGGCCAAAATTCTAATATACAACCTTTTGATTATGATTACATCGCTAATGGGCCAACGCTTACAAATAATATGTTTATAGCTGACAATACGAATGTACTTGTTCTTCCTGGTAAACAACAATTACAAACACCTACTTCTGAAATTTATTCTTGATCATACTTCCAGTAATCCATTACCAGTTCCAACTACGCGGCATCCTCAACAGCACATCCAAGATACAATTTCAAACATATTGATGTAATCCTAAATTTTGAGTTAAAATTTGTGATGATCCTACAGTGTGTTAAAATGAGTTAGAAATGAAAAGTTAGCGTATTTTATTTAATATTGTATATGTCGTAGGTAGGAACAGAATTTTAGTATAATTATTCTTTGCTAATATAAGTGGATTCCGAACTCTATTATGATTCCATTCCCACTTACAACATATATATTCTATGTCATATTATATATATATATATATATTACTCATATTTGTACAAACAAAAAATAAATAGCCTTACCCTTACAATTGTCCAGTTCAACTCTAATTTTACTTAAGTAATAGATAACGTTATATTTCTTACCAAATTTTTTGACTCCTGTAATTTTTGTTTGTTATTTATATATCATCATTGGAATACTATACTGCCCACATTACTAGATTCCGATCCGTAAATCCTGCATGTTTTTACAGAGTTATGTGAACATTTTCATTTTTGAACTTTTATGATTACCATAACGAAATATCAGTACAAAACTGTAGATGTAGATGTATAAAGTCTGTCATTATGTTGACACGTTATAAAGTGTTCAACCTGACAATTGTAAAACGAACTCTACAAATCGGGTGTTCACGATATCATCCACGTGCATTGTTATCATCCAATAAAATTGCAGATCGCGTATGACGTAACTTAAGAAATCTATTTTATCTGGATAGATTTGTGGAGCAATAAAATTTAGTCGGAATAGGCCGGAATTGATAAATTTCTCTCAAAATCACACAAAATTTTACAGTACTAATGAAATGGTAGCCCACGTACTAAGTAAAGCTACCCAGATGATAATTTTGCTGTAGTAGTATTATTGCTTAATGCCGACCCTAAATTTTGGTCGATCTGCTGAATTTTGGTTACTCCACTAATCTATCCATTTTATCTCGCGTCTATCAATAAAAAAAATTTGAGAATTTCGTTGCAAGAACTTTACTTCCAGGTATTACCACATATATTTATCCTCTTAGTTACTATATAGAATCTCTTGCCTGAAATATCTAAAAAAAAAAAAAAAAAAAAAGTGCGAATAAAATAATTAATAATTAAATAAAATAATCAAGTACCGAATTTTATCTTCATTGAAAATTAGAAAGTTGACAAAAATATTACTATCAACGTAAATTAACTATAATTGATCATCTTTTGAATAAAAAATTTGATTAATAATTCAATTCTATGTTACTCTTTCTCCAAAGCTTTATAACACTAATTAATCATATTTACCTGGCGTAAAATTCATGATAATAATAGGACAGGTGAAACCCACGCTGTGAATTAGTAAAATCTGCTACGTAGATCACATAAGGGTGAAATCATAATAAAAAACATTGCCAAACACGTATTTCGCCTTAACGTGATTGGATTTTACTAATTTACAACGCGATTTTCACCCAATCCTATAATAATTACGCGTTTGAAAGATTTAGTTCTGATACTACGAGACCGCCAAATTTTGCTTCATGAATTGAATCTACAATTAGACTTTTTGGTTTTCAAATGACAACACTAATTCCGTTATCCTTGATTAGAGTAATCCTGGGTTGACTTGCTCTTATCTCTGCAATTTAAGATCTAAAATCTTAACGATTCATTGCCTAATTATCTAAATATTAATTTAAAAGCGTTAAAACTATTGTTAGCAAATCAATGTAAATATAAATATAATAAATTTTCAGAATTTTGAGCTTTCAAGATGTTGAATTGTCGATACAATGAATTCTATATATCAGATTTCTGGCAGTTGAGATTCATAGTGAATCAAAAGATCAATTAATTATATACATTTTGTCTCAATTTGTTGAAAAAAATCCTGAATTAAATGTCTTCGCAATAAATTAGTGTAATATTAGCAATAAATTGAAAATTTTTTATACGTCATAATATTAAACATTATGCATTTTTCGATCAACTCCAAACTATTCAACTACATAATGGCCATTAAAAATATCTAATTGAATTAATTGAAATTGCCTGATAGGATGATACATATATTTGTGCATGATTCTCAAAAAAAAAACATAGTAATAATACCCGATTTTTTCATTATTGCGATTCATATTTTATTATATATGAAAAAATGGATATTAGCCACACCAACGTGACCATTATAAATGCCGGTCAATCCACATTAATGAGGCTAAGAGGCACACTGATACGGAAAAAGCGCAAAATTAACTTTGAATATCCCTGACACTAATGTTTCATTAATTCCTACTACTATTTTAAAATTAATATATTCTGATTCTCCTTTAATATTTATCCAATTCCTAATTTTCATTATCGAGATTGTTGGTATATTGTAGATTGCGATAAATGGGTTTCTCTTAAAATTTCGACCAAAATCAAAATCCAGAAAAACCAGCCCGAATTATAGCTAATGCTAGCTTGTCGAAATTTTGAACCCCAATGGGAATTCCAATTGTCGAGATTTCAGGTAACACAACCTTGGCAGAAACTTGCCTAACTGGTTAAGATAATCTTCAAATTCGCTTTTTTACAGTTGACTGAATGGTCCAATAGAAAAGTAGAATGTTTTGATTTTAAGTATATCAGTTTGTGGATTCTTTTGTACCTGATTATTTGTGCTTTCTGAAGCTATTGATAACTTTTGTGATGAACTTTTGTTAGTAAAACATTATGCTCTCAAAAACAATTTAAAACATATAAGTTACTGTACGCGTCTATTAAATCAGACAACTTTTACATATGGGATAGCACCAAGACCCATATGTAACATGTCAATCAGTAATGTCGTTTTAAATATTTTTGTCGTAGAATGAAATATATAATAGAAGATTTTTTATATCTAAAAAAAAACTTTAAAAAGCACAATTATACCAAAAATTATTAAGCTGAATTGAAAACTGACAAACTGAGATCAATCATATTGTTAAATTTGTATGCTTAACGTTAATTCGATCAAGTTAATTACCTAAAATGAATAAGAATTACTCTGCCAGGTCAAAAGATTTTCCATGATAAACATCTAATCCAAAATTTTGCAATAGTACTAAATTCTATTGTGAAATCATGTCGATTATTATTAAATTGTTTAATGCGCGCAATTTCAGGAATACAGTCAACTCTCTCTAAGTGCAATTCATTGGGACCAGACTTTTAGCAATTTGTACTTAAAGAAGAATTAAGAAAAATTGCATTTATGGAGTATTTATAGAACCAGACATATAGTTGGGCCAAGTTAAAATTACATTTTGCACTTAAGGAGGTTGCACTTAGGGTGAGTTGACTGTATATTGAGTTTCTGTGGTTTCCGTGTTTAATTTGAAAAATATTAATTATACTAAGGCTGTTTAAAGTTGATTAATGGGGTTAAATAAGAAAAAAAAAAGTTGATTATTAGGTAACGTCATCACCCTCTCACTTAACTGTCCCCCGGAAATTAATCAAACCAATCACAACACAGATAGACTTCACTCATCATATGATAAAGGCTGATCAATGAGATTTGATCAAATATTCTTTGGATATATGTGTTTGTTTAAATTTCCCCTCTCCCTCGTTAAGTGCGGCCAAAATTTCGACAGCTAAAAAGAATACCGAAAGTCAAAATCCCGATAATTGAAAATTCTAATACTATCGTACTATTTCACATCATGCTGCCACATGTTCGCACACCCAAAATTTGTGATAGACAAGAACGAGGGACTTCTAATGCCATGTCCACTCATAT